TATCCTGTCATGCAATGTGGACTGATGTGCCTAAGGGAGGTAACTGTCAACTATCCATGTCTATCCTGTCATGCAATGTGGACTGATGTGCCTAAGGGAGGTAACTGTCAACTATCCATGTCTATCCTGTCATGCAATGTGGACTGATGTGCCTAAGGGAGGTAACTGTCAACTATCCATGTCTATCCTGTCATGCAATGTGGACTGATGTGCCTAAGGGAGGTAACTGTCAACTATCCATGTCTATCCTGTCATGCAATGTGGACTGATGTGCCTAAGGGAGGTAACTGTCAACTATCCATGTCTATCCTGTCATGCAATGTGGACTGATGTGCCTAAGGGAGGTAACTGTCAACTATCCATGTCTATCCTGTCATGCAATGTGGACTGATGTGCCTAAGGGAGGTAACTGTCAACTATCCATGTCTATCCTGTCATGCAATGTGGACTGATGTGCCTAAGGGAGGTAACTGTCAACTATCCATGTCTATCCTGTCATGCAATGTGGACTGATGTGCCTAAGGGAGGTAACTGTCAACTATCCATGTCTATCTATCCTGTCATGCAATGTGGACTGATGTGCCTAAGGGAGGTAACTGTCAACTATCCATGTCTATCCTGTCATGCAATGTGGACTGATGTGCCTAAGGGAGGTAACTGTCAACTATCCATGTCTATCCTGTCATGCAATGTGGACTGATGTGCCTAAGGGAGGTAACTGTCAACTATCCATGTCTATCCTGTCATGCAATGTGGACTGATGTGCCTAAGGGAGGTAACTGTCAACTATCCATGTCTATCCTGTCATGCAATGTGGACTGATGTGCCTAAGGGAGGTAACTGTCAACTATCCATGTCTATCCTGTCATGCAATGTGGACTGATGTGCCTAAGGGAGGTAACTGTCAACTATCCATGTCTATCCTGTCATGCAATGTGGACTGATGTGCCTAAGGGAGGTAACTGTCAACTATCCATGTCTATCCTGTCATGCAATGTGGACTGATGTGCCTAAGGGAGGTAACTGTCAACTATCCATGTCTATCCTGTCATGCAATGTGGACTGATGTGCCTAAGGGAGGTAACTGTCAACTATCCATGTCTATCCTGTCATGCAATGTGGACTGATGTGCCTAAGGGAGGTAACTGTCAACTATCCATGTCTATCCTGTCATGCAATGTGGACTGATGTGCCTAAGGGAGGTAACTGTCAACTATCCATGTCTATCCTGTCATGCAATGTGGACTGATGTGCCTAGGGAGGTAACTGTCAACTATCCATGTCTATCCTGTCATGCAATGTGGACTGATGTGCCTAAGGGAGGTAACTGTCAACTATCCATGTCTATCCTGTCATGCAATGTGGACTGATGTGCCTAAGGGAGGTAACTGTCAACTATCCATGTCTATCCTGTCATGCAATGTGGACTGATGTGCCTAAGGGAGGTAACTGTCAACTATCCATGTCTATCCTGTCATGCAATGTGGACTGATGTGCCTAAGGGAGGTAACTGTCAACTATCCATGTCTATCCTGTCATGCAATGTGGACTGATGTGCCTAAGGGAGGTAACTGTCAACTATCCATGTCTATCCTGTCATGCAATGTGGACTGATGTGCCTAAGGGAGGTAACTGTCAACTATCCATGTCTATCCTGTCATGCAATGTGGACTGATGTGCCTAAGGGAGGTAACTGTCAACTATCCATGTCTATCCTGTCATGCAATGTGGACTGATGTGCCTAAGGGAGGTAACTGTCAACTATCCATGTCTATCCTGTCATGCAATGTGGACTGATGTGCCTAAGGGAGGTAACTGTCAACTATCCATGTCTATCCTGTCATGCAATGTGGACTGATGTGCCTAAGGGAGGTAACTGTCAACTATCCATGTCTATCCTGTCATGCAATGTGGACTGATGTGCCTAAGGGAGGTAACTGTCAACTATCCATGTCTATCCTGTCATGCAATGTGGACTGATGTGCCTAAGGGAGGTAACTGTCAACTATCCATGTCTATCCTGTCATGCAATGTGGACTGATGTGCCTAAGGAGGTAACTGTCAACTATCCATGTCTATCCTGTCATGCAATGTGGACTGATGTGCCTAAGGGAGGTAACTGTCAACTATCCATGTCTATCCTGTCATGCAATGTGGACTGATGTGCCTAAGGGAGGTAACTGTCAACTATCCATGTCTATCCTGTCATGCAATGTGGACTGATGTGCCTAAGGGAGGTAACTGTCAACTATCCATGTCTATCCTGTCATGCAATGTGGACTGATGTGCCTAAGGGAGGTAACTGTCAACTATCCATGTCTATCCTGTCATGCAATGTGGACTGATGTGCCTAAGGGAGGTAACTGTCAACTATCCATGTCTATCCTGTCATGCAATGTGGACTGATGTGCCTAAGGGAGGTAACTGTCAACTATCCATGTCTATCCTGTCATGCAATGTGGACTGATGTGCCTAAGGGAGGTAACTGTCAACTATCCATGTCTATCCTGTCATGCAATGTGGACTGATGTGCCTAAGGGAGGTAACTGTCAACTATCCATGTCTATCCTGTCATGCAATGTGGACTGATGTGCCTAAGGGAGGTAACTGTCAACTATCCATGTCTATCCTGTCATGCAATGTGGACTGATGTGCCTAAGGGAGGTAACTGTCAACTATCCATGTCTATCCTGTCATGCAATGTGGACTGATGTGCCTAAGGGAGGTAACTGTCAACTATCCATGTGTATACAGTCATGCAATGTGGACTGATGTGCCTAAGGGAGGTAACTGTCAACTATCCATGTCTATCCTGTCATGCAATGTGGACTGATGTGCCTAAGGGAGGTAACTGTCAACTATCCATGTCTATCCTGTCATGCAATGTGGACTGATGTGCCTAAGGGAGGTAACTGTCAACTATCCATGTCTATCCTGTCATGCAATGTGGACTGATGTGCCTAAGGGAGGTAACTGTCAACTATCCATGTCTATCCTGTCATGCAATGTGGACTGATGTGCCTAAGGGAGGTAACTGTCAACTATCCATGTCTATCCTGTCATGCAATGTGGACAGATGTGCCTAAGGGAGGTAACTGTCAACTATCCATGTGTATACAGTCATGCAATGTGGACTGATGTGCCTAAGGGAGGTAACTGTCAACTATCCATGTGTATACAGTCATGCAATGTGGACTGATGTGCCTAAGGGAGGTAACTGTCAACTATCCATGTCTATCCTGTCATGCAATGTGGACTGATGTGCCTAAGGGAGGTAACTGTCAACTATCCATGTCTATCCTGTCATGCAATGTGGACTGATGTGCCTAAGGGAGGTAACTGTCAACTATCCATGTCTATCCTGTCATGCAATATGGACTGATGTGCCTAAGGAGGTAACTGTCAACTATCCATGTCTATCCTGTCATGCAATGTGGACTGATGTGCCTAAGGGAGGTAACTGTCAACTATCCATGTCTATCCTGTCATGCAATGTGGACTGATGTGCCTAAGGGAGGTAACTGTCAACTATCCATGTCTATCCTGTCATGCAATGTGGACTGATGTGCCTAAGGGAGGTAACTGTCAACTATCCATGTCTATCCTGTCATGCAATGTGGACTGATGTGCCTAAGGGAGGTAACTGTCAACTATCCATGTCTATCCTGTCATGCAATGTGGACTGATGTGCCTAAGGGAGGTAACTGTCAACTATCCATGTCTATCCTGTCATGCAATGTGGACTGATGTGCCTAAGGGAGGTAACTGTCAACTATCCATGTCTATCCTGTCATGCAATGTGGACTGATGTGCCTAAGGGAGGTAACTGTCAACTATCCATGTCTATCCTGTCATGCAATGTGGACTGATGTGCCTAAGGGAGGTAACTGTCAACTATCCATGTCTATCCTGTCATGCAATGTGGACTGATGTGCCTAAGGGAGGTAACTGTCAACTATCCATGTCTATCCTGTCATGCAATGTGGACTGATGTGCCTAAGGGAGGTAACTGTCAACTATCCATGTCTATCCTGTCATGCAATGTGGACTGATGTGCCTAAGGGCGGTAACTGTCAACTATCCATGTCTATCCTGTCATGCAATGTTGATTGATGCAGTGAAATAAGGTCCATCTGACCGCCCGAGACAGGCTAGATTTCTACTGGACAGACTCATTTTACAGCTAGCCAGCTCGATGGATTGGTGAAAAAAAAAAAATTCCGATAACATGCCCCCTGGCACTGACTGGTTAAATCTCTTCTCGGCTGGTAAGTTTTTGAAGTTACCAGCCCAGATGTCTAGCTGGGTTTTTGGCTTATTTCAGCTGAAGGGGTCGTTGTCGGCACAGGTACTACAGATATGTACCCCAGGTACGTTTCTGTATACAGATATGTACCCTAAACAAAGTCAAAATACAGAAACGTAGCCGGTACCCTAAAAGGGGGACGAGTCCATATTCCTCAATCCAAAACCAAAACCGCATGTAGTTGTTCCCGTTCAACTGATTGTGAGTGGTATTCATATGCATCACTAAATATCTGTTACTGTGTATTCTCATTACTTACATAACGCAATCAAATGTATCTAATACAACAGCATGACAGTTCTGATCAAGAATACAACACAATGGGAATGGAATCATCCTAGGGTACGTTTCTGTATTCTTATTATGGGCAGGGTACATGTCTGTATACAGAAACGTACCTGGGGTACATATCTGTAGTACCCGTGCCGACAACGACCCCTTCAGCCTTATTTCATACACTGATTGATGTACCTAAGGGAGGTAACTCTGTCAAGCATCCATGTCTTGCTGCACAGAGCAATGCAGTTGTCATGCAATCAGTTGTGCAGTAATCAGAAAACCATACCAGTATTGTTGAGAAACTACACAGTCATCACTTTTACAGTAACCTCTGACACAGTGTCCCACAACAACTAAAACACAAAACACAAATCGATATCTACAAGGTGACATTTGTTTGGGGCATATCTGTGATTTACAACTGACCTTTGACCCCTGGTATTCCTCTACGAATACCAAGCCACTGTCCACGGACAAAGCCCCAGTCACCACTGTGGTTCTTGATGAGTACTGCTCGCTCCCCCTTACGGGGTTCCAGAGTCACACATCTTGAAGTGTTGGACACCTGCAAATGATTTCAACATTCTCTTTTTACACAGCATTATTGTAGTCAGCAACTTACATCTGCTTGGTGATTTGTAGGAAACTGAGAGTATTATGACGACAATGTTGTTGTGACAACAAGGACATCAAGAAGTGTTTTTTTCTTTGCTTTTATTTAAACATATTTTATTCATAAAGCAAAAATTAAATGAATAAGGATTGGTACAACAAGCCAATGGCTTATGTAAGTGCTGCTCCATTGAATAAAAAATTCAATCAATAATTAAATTGAAACAAGGTACAGAAGCAATTAATTCCACAAAGGCAAGAAATGGATAATAATAGGAAAATATCTACACAATTACATTCAATGCTTCATAGTAATTGCATACATAAGAGTTTAGAATAATCTGAATCTATTTGAAAGAAGTATGTATTCATGAACAGAGTCAAGAATAAGCTGATAAATTTTGTTGCTAGAAGTTTGATTACCTTGAAGAAATGAATTCAAGTCAAAACCATTAGCATAGAAACATTTATCTGATCTTATTAAGTCAAAACAGGGGCAAGAAAAAAAGTAATGGAGAGAATCTTCCCATGGATACCCACATGCACAATTCGGATTATTTGAAAAATGTCTATCAAAACTATAAGTGTTCAAGTCACTACAACCCAAGCTTATCTGGATCCGAAGTTTTTATCAAAGAGAATATTGGACATTTTAATATAAATTGTATATTTATATACTTATCCTATCTCACGTCTTGCACCTCTCTCTCTTGCTTCGACTTTTAGTGGAACGACTGTAAACTTTTTCCATAGGCCTCCTTGTCCATTCGCCCGTGCACTCCATGCTGCTCTCCTTAATTAGCTTCCTAGTTCCTAATAAAGCTTGCAGCATGCTCCACTATTGCCCACGTGACTACTTTGAATGATCATTCTCATCTCGGAGCCAACGTTGTAATCTGAGTAGTGGGGAGGCCGGGCGGGCATCCATCGCGTGAAATAGGATAAGTATATAAATAAGCTTAGTCAAAGGATGTCCCCGGCAACTTTGGAGGCAGAACGCAATGAAATCCACTGGAATTCGGGAGTGTCATACTTCACTGATGTAATTGCTCCGTGGAGTAGAGGTCAGTCAGCATGAATGTCGAACACCTCTGCATCGTCATACTGATTGTGCCTCAGGTCTGTAGGGCCATGCTAGGTGGCCGTATTCCGATGCCAAGTGACGTAGTTCTTAAACCCATATAATGATAACAAAAGGTTGAGATCCAGTTCAACTTAAATTCTGTATATACAAGGAATTAGTAACGTGAATGCGGAACCGTCCCTCATCTGCGTTGTTGGGCCGATGTAAGCGGCTTAGCCAGTACAAAAGGTCCGAACTGGTGTAGTCCCTGGACATCCGTGACAGACAGGTCTTAGCCAGTACAAGAGGTCCGAACTGGTGTAGTCCCTGGACATCCGTGACAGACAGGTCTCGCAGGTAATGTGAAGAGAAGACTGTATCAGAATGCCAGAAGGAACCTTCCATGATAGCGGTCAAGGAGCAGTTGCTATGGAGGGCCAATGTCGAGGTTAGTGCACGAGTCTCATGAGGATTGGAAGTGGCTGGAGGAGGCAACCCTGCAAAGGTGTAGGCTCGCAGGATCGTGGCACCCATCCAGAAGGCCAATGTGGTCCAGGAAACCTAAGTTCTTGAAGCGGTCGACAAGGGTATGAAGAGCCGCTTCCGTAGCCGTCGACGAACCTTGGAGGCATCAAGGTGAGGTGAGGTGAGGTGAGGTGAAATTGGGTTTTACGTCGTGCTTGAGAATATTTCACTCATATGACGATGTGCATGCGTGTGTATGTGTTTGTGCGGCTGCTTGTACTAGCCCAGACTGAAGCTGGTTTTATAGTGCTAGCCCACTGAGATACCATGCCGCAGTGAAGCATGAATACCCAACTCAGACACATTATACTGACTCGGAGCCGACCAGTCCTTGTACCCATTAATGCCGAGCGCCAGGCAGGGACCAACAAGTACCATATTTTAACGTCTTTTGGTTTGATGCGGTCAGGGATCGAACCCGCGACCTTCCGCTCTCCGGGCGGACACTCTAACCACTACACCATGGAGGCGGTCCGAGGCAGCAAGGTAAACGTGTAGAGCCCTAACAGGGCAAAGTGTCAAATCTTCATTATCATCAGGCCCAAGAATGGTGGACAACGGGGGAATGGTAAACATCCGGTCCGGTTGCCCTGGCAGTTGGTTTTTCGCAATGAAGTCCCAGCGGAGACCCAGGAAAGCCTTGCCATGCTTCTTCCGCTCGAACCGCCCCAGATTGACATCAAGAGCATGCAGTTCAGATATACAAGCAGTGGTAGCCAAAGGTACCAGGAAGAATGTCTTGAATGTCACTTGTTCGAAGTCCTTGTCTTCTAAGGATTCATAATCTGTAGAAATCATATGACGAAGGATGACGGACAGATCCCAGGCCGGAGGTCTGAACTTCCTAGACTCGTCAGAGAGTCTATAGGAGTGTAGTAGACTTTGCAACTCGGGAACAGTGGAAATCGAGTGGATGGCGGCTAAGTAGGTAGCTAACGTAGTACCCTTGAGTTTCTTAGTAGTGCGGAGATGCTGGAGAAACTCAGCAAGACCTGAGTCGAGGTGGAAGTGGGAGATGCAATTCCCCTAACCTTGCAATAGTCTTCAAACTTCTTCCACTTGTTGTCGTACAAGGAACAGGTCGAAGTACGATGCGCTGAAGTGAAGTTGAGCCTGGATGCAATCGTCTATGTAGCTTTCAAAGGTGATCCCTTGAAAGTGGAGGAAGCTCGTTATGGGCTAGGTAATTCGGGTAAAAAAACACGGGGCCGTGGAAATTCCAAATGGTAGGACTTTCCATTTGTAGTGATTCCCGTTGAACACGAAGCCGAAGGTACTTCCAGTGTTCTGGATGTATCGGAACGTGAAGATAAGCATCCTGAAGATCTAGGCTGATGAGGAAGTCTCCCTTCTTCAGGATGGTGCGTTAAAGGTTGATCGACACCATCCTGAAGTGAGGCGGTTGAAGCAGAAATCGGGCATTGAACAACTTCATATTGAAGATGAGCTGGAGTTTGTTGGAATTTTTCTTTGGAACCAAGAAGATGGGGGTGTAGAATCCTGGAGTGACGGGCGATGGACCTAGGAGCTTTATCGCAAGTTTGTCTAATAGCGTACCTATTGTGGATTGCAGAGTCTGAAGCTGGTCCACAGGATATGAGCGATGAGCCGGATGCGACGTCAGAGGTGGACTGCCAATAACGGGTAGCTGTTAGCGGTGAATTAGCAGGTTCCTGACATATGGATCTTTGAGGATGGTCCAATCCGGCACGAAGTTCTGCAATCTCCCGCCTACCGGAGTGTTGTAAATCGGAACGACTGGGGGTGGGAGGTCCCAATCGTGCGATTGTCTCAAGCCGTCACTGCTTCCCAGCTGGTCCCTGGGCCAGAGTTGGTCCTGGGGGTGGGGGTGGGGGTAGGGGCAACGGGAGGAACCACACCACGGCCAGATCTGTTTCCTCTGCCACGGCCTTGAGTGGATGTGCCGAGAAAAAGATTGCGTAAATCCGGATTGGTAGGGGTGAACTGTGCAGTTCGAAACTGTTTTAATGAGTCCTGGAGCTGTGACTTGTATCTTTAACAGTTCAATCAAGACCTGAAAGTGGGTTTCTTTATCAACTTTATTAGATACTTCTTGGATGCTACCATTGAAGAGGGAGACAGTAAACCAAGGCTGGCAAAACAGTTCTGTTTTAAGCTGCTCATCCCATGAAGAGATGTTAAGGGGTCCACGTCAGCGAACAGCAAGAGTGTAGCCCAAAAAATGAGACGACTGATCCAGGATAATTTGGAACTGGTCCAGAGCTAAAGTCATGCATCCTCGGATGTAAGCGTCAGAGTAAGTATGCTCCAGAGCAGTGTTAACAGCGTCAACTGCTGCAATCACACAACTAATAGATGGCAACGTCTTTCTCACGGTTGAATCCATTTGAGCCAGCTCTCGGTCCTCAATAAGGTAGGGCGAAGCAGCTCGTTTGCCACACAGGGTTCCAATATCCTCATCAACTGTTGGAGCCGTAGAGATCTTTGTTAGGCCGTGGACATGAGAGGTAAAGGATTATATCTGAGAGCAGAGAATCCGTCCTTAATTCGTTTCAGGCTCTTGAAACCATCATTTAGTGTACTGGATAATTTCAGAATACAAGGTCGAGGTGGTAGGGTGATGTTAGACCAATCCCGGTTCCTAAGAGTATAAGAGTGATCCAGGTCATCTGCTGAAGTACTCAAGGGAAGTTGGAGCTTCTAAGTCGTCTAAAGTGCTGCAAAGCTACCCCCAGGGGTAGATAACTCAGAGTGAGCTGGAGATGCAGGCATGGCTATTTGGACTGGATCAATCTCAGGAGGTGGACCAGATGAAGAGCCAGGAGCTGCTGAAGCCGGATGGGCTGGAGTAGAAGGCTGTATTTGGTTCCAGGCTGAGGTTATGGCCCTGATCATCATATTTAGATCCGAGACGCTGTAGGAGTGGGATTGTTATCAGGTTCTCATGACTCAGCGATGATCCTAGAGTGAGTCGAAGGATTCTCAGAGCCTGTAGACGGAACATCATAAGAGACTGTAGGTCTATTAGTGGTATCAGAGCAATGATCACCCGAACGTCGGTCAGAGGAACTGTATCGAGATCTCGACATGGTAAGTGCCGAAGTGGGTTTGTAAGCCGGTGATCTGGATTCCCTAGTATGGCTAGGTGATCCGGTATGATATGAAGAACTAGTCTGGGTCGCTGTAGTTTTAGTTGGTGATCTGGTTCTGATTGGAGCTCTGGTTCGACCATCTGAATAGGATCTGCCATGAGATGTGGATCTGTACTGTGATCCCAATTGGTTAATGGCTCTGTAAGGTGATCTAGATCGCATAGGTGACCTGTGAGATGTGGATCTGTACTGTGATCCGAATTGGTCAATGGCTCTGTAAGGTGATCTAGA